CACGTGTGTGTGGTTTTGAGAGAGAGAGGTTTTTTTTAAGATTTATTATTTATACAGCATGCTGCCTGCACGTGTGCCTGTGAACTAGAAGAGGGCACCAGATCTCATTATAGATGATTGTCAGCCACCGTGTGGTTGCTGGGAACTGAACTCAGGACCTCGGGAAGGCCAGCCAGTGTTCTTAACCTCTGAGCCACCTCTCCAGCCCGAGAGAGATCTTTCTAAATGCAGATACTAAACAGTTTCCAAAAGAACATGGTGCTAAAGGGACATGACACTGATGCTCAGGGTTGCGCTCACCCCAGATGTCTCTCAGAGGCCACCAGTATTGACCTGGAGGAGGGAAAAATTCAGATACAGGCTCACAAGATGTGACAAGCTTTGTAAACTGCCCTATGCTTTGAGTTAGGGACATTGCACGAGCATTCCATGCTAGTTATTTAAACTGACACATGAGTGTCATCCAGGGGCCTGAGGATCTAAGGAGCTGATCCTTGTTCCTGAATTGCTCATGCCTTCAGGCACTTATTCAAAGCAAGTTACTGAAGGAAAATACCATTGTGCTAGGTTTAAATTGCTCTATGAATGTTTTCTTCAAATACAACATATAGCACCAGTTTAAAGATACATACATAGGTCATGACATTACCTAAAAGAAAAGACATGAACGAGGCCCAATGGAAAAAAAATAGAAAAGGAGCTATAGGATTTCCAGATACCAAATATAAGAAGATAAAGCCATTGTGCAACACATACCTAGCAAGGAGAGAACTAGAAAACTGGCACGTGAATGAACTACACTGTTTCCATGCTCCCCTGATTGCCACACTGAGGCTTGGTTGGTTGGTTGGCTGGTTGGTTTTGTTTTTTTTGAGACAGGGTTTCTTTGTATAGCCTTAGCTGTCCTGGAGTAGCTTTTTAGACCAGGCTACCCTTGAACTCACAGACTTTCCTTCCTGTGCCTCCCTGTAGTGCTGGATTTACAGGTGTGCACCACCACGCCTGGCAGGCATAGCTCTTAACTCTCAGTAATAACTCAGAATGTGACGGTATTTGTAGAAGAATGAGACAGCTGGACACCTGTAATCAGAAAATACAATATCCAAAGAAAAGTCGGGAAGCAAGTTTAAAGGCTGACTAAAGACAGTTAAAGATAAAATCAGCTCACCAAGGGGTTGAAGAAGGCAAGTCTCGAGGTAGGGAGGTTGCTTTCATAGAAGTAGCATTTATGCTGAAACAAAGAGACTAAAGACTCCACCCAGAAAATTCTTTAAACAGTCCAGCTATCAGGATACAAAATCAGCTAACAATAAGCAGGAGCTTTCCTGTATACAAATAAATACATAAAAGCATGTGGAAAAAAGAAATCAGGGAAACAATTCCACTACCATCACTTAAAGAGAGCAATGGAAGAAGAAACCCAACCAAATTGCTGCAAGACTTGAATATAAACTTTAAAACACAAGAGAAACTAAAGACAACAGAAGAAGGAAGATTTCCCTGCACTTGCAGGTTAAAAAGCATAAAAGTAAGAAAATAACTATCCTAATCAGAGCCACCAGCAGATTTACTACAATCCCCATCAAAATCCCAAAGCCATTCTTCACAAAAGTAGAAAAAGGCATTAGCAACTCTTGTGGAGAAGCTGGGAATGCAGCTCAGCTGGGAATTCCAGCATGCACATAGCCTTAAGTCTGGCCCTGGTCCCTAGCACTACCTGGAAGAGACAGGGTAGTGCATATGCCTAAAATCCCAGAACTCGAGAGGAGACAGGAGAATCACAAGTTCTCGGACCCTGTCTCAAAGTAAATTTTGCTGAGCTAAAGAAATGGGCCAGTGGTTAAGGGCACTGGCTGCTTCTTCCAAAGGACCCAAGTTCAGTTCCCAGCATCCACTTCACCTGGTTCACAGCCACCTGTAACTCCAGAGTCTCTACTGCTCTGCTCTTCCAGCCTGTGTTGGTACCTGCACTCCCATGGCATACATCCATACAAACACATACACATAAATAAAGAATTTTTTCAAAGCCTTTTAAAAATTTTGCTGGGCCCTTAGGAAGCAGGGGTAAATCTGTGAGTTTGAGGCCAACTTGGTCTTGATCTATAGTGCAAGTTTCAGATTATCCAGGGCCACATAGACCCTGTCTCAAAAAAAAAAAAAAATATCCAAGTAAAAAACAGGAAATCACCTTCATTATACCTAATAAGCACGGGATGCTGGAAATTCCCATGTTCAGGAGGAACCACACAGTTCTCTTCAGCGTGCATTAGTCATTCTCAAACTTGAACATGCGGTCACCGCATGGAGGTCTTATCAAAATGCCACGCTTCATAGGAGACCTGGGTGGGGACGGAGATGGTGAGTGGCCGACAGGTGACACAATGAAGGAATCTGAGGTGTCGTCGGACACGAAAGTCGAGTGTCTTTATTTCCTGGTGAGAGTGAGGACGATGACAGATGCAGTTAGCAAACGCTGGAGGTTCCTTCAAACTTTTTATTTATTTTTCTTTCAATAGCAAACATACAAATGGAGGGGTAGAGCGGGGCCCGTCAGCAGATGGCACACCCCAACATCAGAGCTCTCCTTGCCCATGAACTTGTTCGGAGAGAGGTTAAAGCAAATCCAGCCAGCATTTCAGTTGCATCTCTACCAGATAAGGATCAAGAAAAGATGTCTTAAAAAGCCTACACTCAGTGTCATTCCCACACAGAGTAATAGTATTATGTAGCACAAAAATAATAACGTCTTGAGCTTGTCTCATAGCCATATGTTTTTCAAGCATCTTCCCAGGCTATTGCTTATTGGTCCATTCCCCCAGGGCCTGGGACTTCAGGAACTGAATGCAAAGCTATGCTCCTTCTAAAATCAAAGGGTACAACTTGCCAGTTTTATTTCTGGGACTCTGTTTCCTAAAACGGGACTGGCAATAGCTTTAGAACCATCCCCTTTGAGTGTGAGCCTCGTCTTCCTCGGTCCTTGCCTGATCCCTCAGCTTTGAGGTTAAAACAGTAAACAGTGAACTAGCCATTTGAATGGGGTTGCTTCAGGAGACACCGGGAGACCACATTCCCCCAACTTTGAGCTTTCAACTCCTTCAGTTTCTTCCACATACTTCCTCCCCATCCTCCCATACCTCACGTTTTTTAATCAGTGTGTAAAATGGTTGCATATTTCATCAAGGTGCATGACCCTCTGCCCTTCCAGTCTCCAGTATGGATAGAATGAGCTCCTATAATGTCACCCCATTTTCAGGTCTCGTCCTTGCATGGAGCTGTCCTCTCTCACAGCCTGCCCCTGACAGCCGTAAGATACAGTATATTCTGCCTCCACATTCCCCCACCAAGTTTTGAGCCTCCTTAGCTCTCAGACTCTGAAGAGGAGACAGGAAACTTCCTGCCAGCATTACAAACAAATGCCAAGGGCTGCTAAGTACCAGACCTGGGGAGGGGATATCTGTGTCACCCTGGATTTCATAGGTTTCTTGTGTTAGTCAGGCTGCATGTGACAGGATTCAAAGTCAAAATCATTAAGCACAAAGGGACATTGATGGCAAGGATGTGGGCGTCTCCTCCAGTGGACTGGACTCCGGAAAGGCAGGAGGTGGACTTCCTTCTGGTCTAGCCTCTCCCCCACCCTTTTCTGGTAGGCTCCTTCCGCCCTCAGCAGCTCCCTCAAATCTGAGTGTAGGCCTCAAGGAGTTACCCCTGTATGAAGCACACACTGCAAAGGAGCTGTGTGAATTCTGATGTCCACCAGGTCAACTCACTCACTGTGTTTGGGTGGAGTCTGGGCATTCCTTTCTAGATGCCCACCTGAGGCCAAGAGCCACCTGATGGCCTCAGGCACCCAGACAGCGCTCTGCAGTGGGTTTCACAGCTCAAGAGGCCTCACTTGGGGAGACCTGTTTCCGGCTGCCACCAATCAGAAGATTAGCTGGTCAGCAGTTTAGCAGGTGTGTGATTATCTGACCATAGCACCTCTCCCGTCAGCTGCTCCCCTCCTCCCACCCCACTGGCAGCTGTAGTGTTTTGGTCTTTGCACCTCAAGGCTGCAAGGTCAATCTTGAGCATGAAGCAGTTGCTTGGTGGGTGATGTGCTCACAGACTAAAAGTGGAAAAAGCCGGTGCTAGCCGGCTAGCTAGGAAGGCTTGTGGGAGGCAAGAGAAAGATAGTGGTGGACACCTCTTCCCTGGAGAGGGATAGATCTGGAGAGGGCTGGGTGGCAGAGGCCTGCAAGTGAAGGCAGAGGCCATCACACTGGCTGGGGACACTGAGGATGCAGGACACTGTTGTCCCTCTGCTGGTCTGGGCTGGTTTCCCTCAGTTCCTTGGAGGCCTTGACCTTTTCTAGAAAGTCATATCTGGGCTTCGAGACCTTGTTGCCTGGCTGCTGCACTTTTGTGTGACTGGGACTCTGACAGTCACTGCAGAAGTAAGGTGAGAACTGAGCTGAGGGCTTCGGAGTTGCCTGGGGGCAATCCTTCTTCCATGTCCCTCTCCATTTTTTACCTAGGGAGCTCCTACAGTGTTCCCTCACTTGGATGTAACCCAGCCCCCAGTTGGGCCTCACAGAGACTATCCTTTTCCTCAGGAAGGCTCCGAGGGAGGGCCTAGAACATTCGACCTATGGGATGGTCTCTATTTCCGGGGTTCCCTCACCCTGAGGCCCTGCTCCCTCACTAAGCCAGGCTTCAGGTGGCCTCCAGGGGTAGCTGTGGTCTCCCCTCATGGAAGTCCTGGCAGCACACTCCAAAGTGGGGCAGGCAGAGATCCAGAGCAGGAACCCTATGTGCTTCCTGCTCCGCCTGTGCCCCAGAACCCACCTCCATAGCCCCAGGAGTTGGCTCTGACCTCTCTAGCCCAGGCCCCACCCTAGGCGCGTGGGAACACACAGGATGACATCACACTTGGGGGCTGAATGTTCACTTCTCTTTCCAAAAAGTACCAAACATACAGTCTAGATGTGGTAGGGGACAGGGCCTGGCTGGGAACCTGGACCTTACACACCCAGGGGGCCCTTGATGGAAGCGGGCAATTTAACAACAGGTCTGCAAGTCAAAAGAGAGAAGGCTGGTTAGTGGGATGAATGAAGATACAGGAGATGGGGACTGCAGAGTTCAGGCCCAGGCACCCTGCCTATGGCTAGATTCCTATGGCACCCTGCCTGGGGGCCCTTCCTGGGGGTGGAAGTGACACAGTTTGACCTCGTGACCTGTATGGGCATCCAAACAATGTTGAACAATTAACTGCCAGGGCCTGAGGCCTGCTCTCACAGACAAAAGAGACACAGGCCTGCAGGTCTCTCTGAAGCTCAGTGTCTTTGTGTGTGTGATGTGGGGACAGTCCTTAGCCCAGAGGATTTCCTCTGTGTGGCCTCTGTGAGGAGTGAATGAAGTATGAAGAGCCGCCGGGCACAAAGAGCTATGTGCTGAGATCCTTCTGCTGGTTCTCAGGGCCCCCCAGGATATACTAGGCAGATGGCCCTTTCCAGCACATAAGTGGGCAGGAGAAGGAGCCAGTGGCCCAAGCCCCGTGTACCCATTCTGGTGTAGACAGACCAGGCCTGGTTCTTACTGGGTGACATGTGTGGGTTGGGTCTGGCCTCTGATCTCTTTGAGTATCTGAGTCTGGGACTCAGAGCCTGTGTCGAGGACCAAGTGCTTGGGAGCTTCAAACTGAGTTCAAGGGATCTGTACCCTATCTGCCCCTGCCCAGGGTACTATGTAGTCTGGCTGGAGTTCTGGGCGAGGGGGTTGCTGGGCAAAGGGGCTGGGCAGGACAGGCAGACTCAGACGTACTCTCGGGCAGCAGTTGAGGGTCCAGAGCGATAGGGCTGTGGGATGCTGTTGGCTCTCTCGGGCTCTGGACACGTGCAGCAGAGAAAGGAGCCTCCCAGCATGGCCAGGCCGGCAGAGGCCCAGCCGACAAACAGAGCTGGGCCAAATTCAAACCTGTAAGAGAAGGACTGTATCAGACTGCAAACCCCAGGCCTGCCCCTGCCCCAACCAGCACCAGGTAGACAGAGGTCAGCACACAAGCCCACAGGCCTCCTTCTCTCCAAATAGACTAGGGTGAGTGCTCACCCCATGTCCCTCCCCACCAGCTCAAGCCTCGGGTGGGCAGTTCAGGCTCATTTCCTCATCTGGTGGCTACAGAGATCCAGATGTTTGCAGCAAAACAATCTGCTGTCTTCTTTCCTCTTCAGGTCTGGTCTATGGAACAGCATCTAGCCAGGTCTGCTCCTTACTGCCCTCTGGAGATGGTTGCCTGGCCTTCTGGGCTCTCCACACCTAGCCCTTCCAGCCAGCCATCTTGGTACGGGTTTCCCCTCCTGGAACACCTTCCCAGCTCTTTCTCTACATTCAGGACCAGTTCATACAGAGCCTCCCGACTGGGGGACTTGCCTCGTTGTTCCCCTTCACCCCGCTACAGGCTCACCTCACCCCTCATCACAACCCCCACTAGGGGGCGTCTCTGACCTGTAGGGCAGACAGAGGCTTAACTGTGTTCTCAGGACCCAGCCAAGGTGTCCCTGAAGAAATGGATGGTTTTAGTGCCAGACTGGCACCTTGGGTTAGACCTTGCCTGACAGGTCTTTATGCTGTGGCTGCCCACACAGGGGACAACTCTCTTGTCTGAATCCTCCTTCTCTGTCTCCTCCATGGAGTCTTCCCATGGAGACAGACCAAGCACCCTTTCTTTCTCATCCCCATCCACCCCAGAGTCGGCAGGACATCTTTGTTCCTGGCTGGGCTGAGAGGAATGGAAGAACCAGTTACACCCAGGCCCTACTAAAAGCCCCTGTCTACCCCCCTACCCACCCACCCACCCACGACTTTGCCTTTACAAATTCTGACCAAAGTAGCTCCCAATTCTGTGTTCCACTTCCTGCCGCTACCTCCTCAACCAGAGCCCTCGGCTGGAGGCAAGGCCACGGCCACTCCGCTGGACTGGGCTGTCCCTCTCTGCACACAGCAGAGGGCAGTCGTGGCCTCACCCAGGATGAGGGGCAAATTCTCCTCCCCGCTGCTGGGTCTTAACATAGCTCCCCATTTTCTCGAGCCTCCTCTACCCAGCTCCCCCTTCCTTGCTCTACTACTGCCTCCTGTAGGGAGCTGTCTTGGTCTGCTGTCACCAATGGAATTAAAGCAAGCCCAGGTGTACTGAGGCCTGGGAAAAACCTCTTTCCTGATCGCCTCTTGGATCCTCACAACCACAGGAAAGCAAGCTGGTCCTGGCATGAAAAGGTTAAGTCACAAGTGACCCGGGTCACCCAGAAAGAACACAGATCTAGAGAGAGCTAGATCTCAGACCCGGAGTTAGGACACTGGACTCCCCAGGGGCCTGCCTGTACTAGGATGTCCTCGGAAGGTCTCCTGTCCCTCCCAAGGGCCTGGCCACACCCCACATGGCTCTCCTTTCTTAGAAACTAGCTGGGGCCTGTTCCCTAGTTCCCTATTTCCTCTCCTAAGTGACATCTGGGGCCAGAGGAGGACAGATAGGAGGGAAGCTTAGCTCCGGCACTCACCTGGCGTTGACAGGTGTGCTAGGGTTGAAGAATTCCTGGGTCACCAGGGTAGCATACCATGAGACAGCGGTCAAAGTACAGAGACCTAAGGACCAAGTAGGGGTGCTCAGCTCTGCCTGGCCCAGCCAGCCACCAGAGGTAGCCTAGCTGCATAGTGAAGAAGGGAGAAAAGGCACTCACCAGCCAAGAGGAAGAGGGCACCCCCAGAGATGGCCACACGGCCCTTGGCAATGGGGTTGCTGTCTCCAACCCGAGTACACTTCATGCCCACGACGCTGAGCACCATGGCCACAAAACCCAGGAGCACCGCCACCACCATCAGGGCCCTCGCTGACTGGATGTGACCTGAGGCAGTAGGAGAAGGGACTGAGCAGGCGCGGGGAAGTAGGAGACGGGGGGGGGGGGGTCAAAAATAGAGGGTTGGACCAGAAATGGGAGGAAGCCAGTGTGGGAAGGGCTTAAGTGGAAAGCCAATGGAGCCTGAGCACTCGCCCGTCTGTGAGAAGACACAATGAGTATATGAGGATCATCACCGCTGACCCCATTTCCCACTGGCCCTAACCGGCTCCTCTGGATGGTGCTAAGGGAAGGGATAGTTTGGATCTGCTCCTCTGCTGCTTTCTCTCGGGCCTGGTGTACCCTCAAGCAGCAGGAAATAGGGCAGGGTGCCGCTCAGGATACCGCCAGAGAAAGAGCTGAGAGTGTGTGAGGACAAACTAAGGCCAGCTTGGTCCCAGTGGCAATGCAGTCAGCCACTTATGGAGCTGAATGCCCGCTTCTCTATGAACGTGTTGGTGAGTTCTAGGCCACAGGCAGCTCGGGAGACTTGAGTCCCCAAGGGAGGCCAGTGATCTGCCTGGACCAGTGTGAAGTGGGACTGGCTAGTGGCAGTTCTGCTCAGGGCCCTGTTGGAGTACAGGTGGAATAACCCCAAGGTCAGAAATGTAATGGTGTCTGACTCTGTGTATGTGTGTGTGTGTGTGTGTGTGTGTGTGTGTGTGTGTGCGCGCATGTGCCGTGTTCTATCGCTGTGTGTCCAGCTGTGTGAGGTGTATAATCTGGGCATGTGTGTGTATACATACATCTGTGTCTATCAGTATGGAATATGGAGAGAAGAGGAGCAGAGGGTGTTAACAGGCTTCTGGAGCCAGACTAACCTCACTCCACCTTCCCATGACCTATGTATTAGTGTCCTGGTTACACAGGAGAACATCAGAATGCAAAAGGCTCCGTGAGTTGCAGGGCTATGATGTCAGGACAGGGAGCCCAAGCTGCCGGCCTCGCAGGCTCCTGCTTCCCCAGAGCCCAGGGACCTGCTGGCCTGGACTCTCCAGTGTACACGGGACAGTAGTTAGGAAATCACACAGGGGCTGGAGCATGTGGCCCAGCGCTGAGGGCACACACCATGAGAAAGCTTGCCCTAAACCTCCCCAGCCCAGCCAGTGTCCCCTCCCAGGCTCCCCCACTTGAGGCCTACCGTCCAGGGCCAGAAGCGAATCGTAGAGCTTGCATTGCACCTGCCCGGTGCTCTGAGAGGCGCAAGACATCCACAGCCCTTCGTACAGGCCCACGGCGGTGATGATGGCATCGCCTGCGTAGGAGGACTGCTTCCACTGCGGCAGGGCAGTGCTGGCGATGATGCCCACCCAGCCGCCCAGGGCTAGGAAGTAGCCCAGGAGCTGGAGGCCCGAGTTGGCCATGGCGCCGGAAGGAGTCTGAGGGTTCCAGGGCTCAGAGGTCTGAGGGTTCCAGGACTCAGAGGTGGGCCAGGGTCTGGAGCAGTGCTGCGGTCATGGTAAGGGCTGGGACAGGGGAGCTCAGCAGCCCAGGAGGCTGGGAGGAGACAGACGGCTGGCTGGCCAGTCTCAGAGTCAGCCCCGCAAAGGCAGTGGCTGCTGGATTCCAGAATGCAGGGGGCGGCCCAGGGGCTGGAAAAGGCCAAAACCCGCCCACAGCCAGTCCCCAGGAGAGCTCTTGCCCAGCTTCTTCAGGGTGGATGGCAGAACCTAGTGCCCAAGCTGGGGTACCCCTGCCCTCCCTGTCTCAATACGAAGGACAGGAGGGGCTAGGAGGAGTGACCCTTCCCCTCAAGGCCTTTCCAACCAGGGAATTCCCTGCTCAGGAGTGTGATTCCGGTGCCCAAGGATTCTCCTAATCCCTTCAATAAATGCAGGTTCAATGATTGGCTTTGCTGTGCTTTCGTGTGCCTGATCTGAACCTGGGGTTTCTTGCCCACTGATTTGAGGACAGAAAAGGAAAGACAATTTAGTTACAGCGGGAAAAACTAGAGTTAGTGGTGTGTGTGTGTGTGTGTGTGTGTGTGTGTGTGTATGGAAATGCCTTGTACGGGTATGGGTATGCCTTGTATGTGTGAGGCAAGCTTTCTACCATGAGAGTTAGTTTTGGGGTAAGGGCTCAAAGACCAGATGTGCAGAGACTAGACTAGACATGAAGAGTTGGGGAGAAAGAGTCCTGGGGTATCTGGGAGCCATGTCTATCAAAACAGAAAAGGCCAGAGCAGGGACATGTGCTGTAGGGTCTGTTTAGGATCTAAGGGGTCAGAACAGGGACCCCACAGCCACTGGGATGGTGGTGGCTGCAGGCTACCCTCAGACGTGGTGCGGGGTCTGGGAAGACCTGTGCCAGCATCTGGTGTGGACTTGGAGGAAGGAGAACCGCTCAGCCAGTTAATCCCTTTGCTGGCTGGTTCAGCAGCTCCTGCTGGGACTTGGGACAGCAGGCCCTGGCCCCTAGCTCCAGAAGAGCCTGGCGGGGGCAGCAGCCTCTGCACATTCCTGGGGTTCAAGCTGCCCCCTTCTAGACCCCTGCCTGCCCCTTCTCACTCAGCCCTCAGGAGCAGGGAATGTTTAACTCCCCTGGGTCTCATTAGCAATCCTCTCACGTTCATTTTAGGCCTACAGGCTTGGCATGGGTGCAGGAGGAATGTCACACCCCTGCTCCCATTCTGGCCTGCCTGCTGGCCTCCCAGCCGCCTCCCTGCATCCCCTGCATCCCACTGCCTTTCCTGAGCCACAACATGGCCAGCTCCCTCCCCCACCACCTCAGCCCCCACTGCAGGACAAACCCCCAGCCTGCTGCCTTGCATTCTTCACGTGGGTGCCTGGCACTGTCAGACAATGGCAAGCCTGTGTGCCTGCTCAGGGCGTGGGCCCCTGGTATGGCCTGTAGCTCCAGCTTCTAGCTAGGGGGGACCTGGGAGAAGCTGGACAAGGGGTGAATGCCGTTTGGTAGACAGTGCCATATACTAGGTCCCTGTGACTTCCTGTGTACATGGGACCTGGTTTGCAGGGTAGCCTGCCAATCCCAGAATACAGTGAGGTCCAGAATGGGAACAGAGAAAATGTGCTGACTTCAGATTCTCCTGCCATGAATGATTACAAGACAATAGGGGAGGTTACGGGAGCCCAGAGTGAGGCAGGAGATACAGCTAAGACTCCCGGGCAGGGGAGGCAGGCAGTGAGACCCTGCTGACCTCAAAGCAGCCCTTGCAAGGAGGCAGGTAACTGGGATGTGTGCGGTGCTGGTTTCTATGGCCGCTCCCCCACCTTTGCCTTTTGGAAGGAAGGAGGGGGAGAGATGGGGGTGCCTCATAAGATGCTCCCTACAAATGAGAGGACTATGGAGACTCAGTCACGAAAGGGACACTGTTTTGCCAAGCTGGGATGATGACTCTACACAAGCTGCTGTACCGGCCAGACAAGGCCCTCTGTCCCAAAGGTGGGTCTTGGCCTTCTGCAAAGGCTTCTCTGTGGGGAGAACCAGACCTCATTCTGACCTGGGGAGCACAGTGGTCAGATATGCGAGTTCTGGAGCCTCAGGGCCACACAGAACACTAGCTGTGACTCCTGTCTACAGACAAGTAAGAACTGAGATAGAAGGGAAGATAGTTGCTGTCCCCAAAGCTAATGTGATCCAAACATAAAGCCTGAGGGGCAGCTGGTTGCCTGTCTGTTAGTGTCTCCATTCGGACATCTCCCAAGTCCCATTCTAAGGACCCTGCACCTCCATGATTCTTTTCTTTCTTTCTTTCTTTCTTTCTTTCTTTCTTTCTTTCTTTCTTTCTTTCTTTCTTTCTTTCTTCCTTCCTTCCTTCCTTCCTTCCTTCCTTCCTTCCTCTCTCTTTCTCTCTTTCTCTCTTTCTTTCTTTCTTTCTTTCTTTCTTTCTTTCTTTCGTTCTTTCTTTCTTTCGTTCTTTCTCCTCTCTGTCTCTGTCTCTCTCTGTTGGAGAGACAGGGTTTCTCTGTTTACCTTTGGCTGTCCTGGAACTTGCTCTGTAGACCAGGCTGGCCTCAAACTGAGATCTGCCTTTCCCTGCTTCCAGAGTGCTGGAATCAAAGGTGTGCGTCACCACTGCCCAGCATAAAGCTTCCATGAGTCTGACATCTTCCCATGGATCTCTTCCAGTTGCTTTCCCCTTTGTCACTTGAGGATTTGGGTCTGTTCTACCTAAACATGCTCTGCTTTCCCAACAGGCTTCCTCCCCAAACCTGCTCCTCTACCAATGTCCCAAGCCTTTGCCCAGGGTAGCTTTTCTGCCCTCTGCCCTAGGGAGCCCACCATTGTTGGTGGCCCTGCAGCCCAGTGACTCTCAGGCATGCAGAGAGAATCTATGGCTCAAGGTTCCCAGCTCAGCCTCCGATCAGAGCTGATGGGAAATGCCTGGGGCGGATACAAGTCATAGTTTAAAAAAAATAAAAAATAAAATGCTTTCACTTCCGGAGGGTGCTGGCTTTTCCTTGGCTGCTGAAAAGTGTATGACGTTAGCCAAGTCCTCAGCTTGTCTTAGATTCCGCAATTGAAAAATAGGGGTGATAGCACTTGCCTGTCTGGTTGATGAGGTTATTAGGATCATAAATTGTCAGAACTGTGGCTGCTCAAAGCTGTTCCCAAGATATTGGCCTGAGGATGGACCTTTCCTGGTGCTGCTTCCTCCTGGTATGGCAAACTGCTTAAGGCTGGGAACCGGCTGCCAAGTCTTTTCCCCACTGTGTCCGGCTGAGGGCGGCCTTGGCAGACATGTATTGATCATTGATGGGTTGGTATGAAGATTCATTGGTTTTGCCTGTCTCATAATGAAACTCCGGGGACTAGTCCACTGCTCTCTCACATGGCTGGTTAAGAGGGTCTGATTCAGTCGTTTGCAATCTCTTACTTTCCCTGCAGTTGCCATGGAAAGTTCGAGGCTTAGAAGTGGTGCCAGCGTTATACCCCTGACTGGGTAAAGTTCCCTGCACCACAGGCTCAGGACAGAAACGACTCACCTTGGGCCACACAGCAAAGAAGCCTGGTGACCAACTTTGTGCTACCCGCAGCTGCTCTGCCTGCCCAGGCATAGTGGAGCATGCCCCCACACTGCAGTTGGCACATTGTTTTCCCCCTTCCTGGGGCCCATAAACAGCTTGAGGCTGCACAAGGAGTCTCGGGTGTTCCTCTGTCTAACCAGGGCAAGGAAACCTCACAGTACATGGGGCAGTCCGACGGTGCCTTCCCTCCTTGGAAACAGCACTGTGCGCAGATCTCTGGTGCCCAACCCCCCAGCTCTGCAGCTTCCCTGGGCTTCAGAGACCAATGAGTGTCATGCTTTTATCTGCTCTGGCTTTGCTGAGCTGCTCCTTATGCCCTGTGACACTCCCACAGGCTGTCTCCATCCTGAGCAAGCTTCCTCATATTGCTGAGGTGCTCTTCTACATGTTTTCCTAAACACGGAGCAAGCACACACAGCTGTAGCTCAGTTGGGACCCTGCCATCACCCACTGCTCCTGGAGGAGCCCCCCTAGCCTAATTAGACACACTTACCTTGGTCCTATTGCCACTAAAAACATCTTACCTTGCCAGGCATGGTGGCACATGCCTCTAATCCCAACACTCAGAAGGCAGAGGCAGGTGGATCGCTGTGAGTTCGAGGCCAGCCTGGTTTACAGAGCCTGTTCAGGACAGCCAAGGCCAAGAGAAACCTTGTCTCAAAAAAACCAAACCAAAACAAAACAAAAAACAAACAAACAAAACACCCAACTAAACAAAAGAAAGAAAGGAAGAAAGAAAGAAATCGTAAAAGGCATCTGCCCCAATATGGAAACTTCTGGAAAACGAGGCCAAGGCCAATGTGGAGTTCTGTAATGTGGAATTGCTTCTATCATGTCAGGTGCTGTGTGAGAATTCTTTTGCAAGTGTTCTTGGGCATCTTAGCCTCAGCATATGTGTTACCTCCCTGTCCCGGTGGTCACATGCTTTCACGTTCAGGAGCATCACTCAGCTCAGTGCCCAGGCCGGCTCCAAGCACACACACCCCCTTTTTTTTGAGACAGGGTTTCTCTGTGTAGCCTTGGCTGTCCTGGACTCACTTTGCAGACCAGGCTAGCCTCGAACTCACAGCACTCCTCCAGCCTCTGCTTCCCCGAGTGCCAGGATTACAGGTGTATGTCACTACCACTCAGCTCCATGCTCCTTTGATGTATCCTTTAGTCCCTCTGTGCAGACCAGGTCAGACAGAGGGATCCATGATGGTAACAGGAGCAGTGGGCATTCCACCAGCACACGGACACACTATCTCAGCTTGAGAGGTGGTCTCCCCAGCCCTCCAGCTCCCCCTCTGCCTCTGCACCAAGCTAACTCCTAAGAGTTGCTCTTCCTCTGACTCTCCCGTGTTCACCTCTTGTGTACACCATCTCACCAAAACATC